CAAAGGGCCTTGAATTTTTTTTTTTTTTTTTTTTTTTTTTTTTTTTTTTAAGGAAATATCTGAGGAGAATATATACCATTAATGAAGAGAGAAAGATAAGCACATAAAGCAAAAATAATCAAATAGGCAAAGAGAAGAAAAATTAAAAAGTCCATAAGTTATGTTAGATTCGTTTTAGCAATTTACCGACTACCAAAATTAATGGATTATGAAAGCAATAAATAAATAGGCACAGAATATAGTATCACAGTTCAGTAACTATCTATATTCGCGAGGCCACGCTCAGATATTGAGCAATCCATTAGGTATCAATGATTACAATCACCAATCAGACTTATACATTCAAAAGCTCTCTTTTTAACTATGTCGTTGCCGTGTCGAATCCACTTAATGGCCTTGTTCAGCAAGCACCACTCGTTTTTAAACTCTATACGGTGAAATCCCGTCAGTAGACAAATCGCTCTCTCCTAAAAGGTTCAAATTCTTCTCCCGAAAAATAATAAACGGTTGAACTCTCTTCAACACTACAAACGTCTTCTCCCGAAGACTACTACTTCTTCTCCCAAAAAATAATAATGGGAACTTCTCAAAATATTACGTGTAAAAACTCAAAAAGCCCACGGAATGAATAATCTTAGGTTCTATTTATAGAACCAAACTTAGTTGAATTTCAAAACTAATATCATATCCAAACCTTCACATATATCTTCAACTAATATCCTTTTTCTAACTCACGCATAAGTAGACTTAATCAAATCATCTTTTGAGTTTCAAATATCAAACTAATTCTGGCTTTGCACTTGGACTTGTACTGCACGTACCATTCCTTTTATCTTCATTGCAATTCAAATATCAAACATCCCCTTTTTAAATTCAAATCTAAGGCATATCTTCTACTGCAATCCTTATCATGACTTATCAAAACTGCTCAACTCGAAACTAACTGCAACTTGAATTTAAACCTGTAAAAGTAAATTTTTTGACTTTTAAACCACAGCTGCTATATCTACTTTGCTGGAACTCAAAATTGCAACACGATCAAATCTGCACCAATATCATAATCAAGGCTGCATCAATTTTTTTCTTCACCTGTTTTTTGAATTTTTACAAAATTATCAATAAATTGCCAACTAATAAAAATACCTAACAAGTTAAACAGCAAAAAGAAGTAGACAAAATTGTACAAGATACTTTTTTAACTTGCACCTTTTTTCATTATCATTTCTATTTATCTTCACTGTGCCTGTCAATAATATATATGCTCTTTCTATCTTTTCTTTTGTCTTTCAATGTTTCAATTTATTTTATATTTTGAAACAATTCTTTTTCTCCTGTGTACTTGATATTATTAAGTCATAGTGCTTGGTTACATTGGTAGCAAAATTAACATCTTTTGAAAAATGATTATACTTGTTCACCATCTGTATTTTGCAGCATTACGACATGTGTCTACATTGTACGGCAATTATTCCAGCTAACATCTCAAGATCCACTCTACCTTGTTTTTTTCAAAATTGGTGACAGGCGAGTGTATAACTAATTTTAAATTTTATAGACATTTAATGTTCATTATACCCTTTTTTTTGTGAATGTAAAATTGTATTATGTATAGGACCTATTTCTGTTAGCCATTATGGATTAATCAAAGAACTTTATTTTGTTTGCAATAAGCGACCAAGTGGATAGCAGAAAATTAGGAACTTGGAAAACTTGGAAAAAGTTTTCATGTGAGAGAAAAATAAAGTTCTTTCTTCTTTTCACAACTCAAATTTTTTTTACTTAAGAAAAAATATTGTAACAATAAAGTTTAATTTAAATTTTGTGAGAAAAAACATTGTGACAAAAATATTTGAACTTTGAGATTTGAGTTGTGAAAAGAACAATTTAAAGTTGAAATTACATAAAAAAGTTGAGATTTGAGAATACAAGACAAAAGTTTGATATATAAGAAAAAGATAAACATAAAAAATACAAAGTCACTTTTGAGATATGATTTTAGAGCAATGCTATAAGGCACTAGTAGTGTTTAGCACCATCTATTAATAGAAGATGGATTCTGTAGTGTGAGACATACAGGTGGAGCTAACATTCTATTATTATAGTAAAAGTCACTTTTGAGATATGATTTTAGAGCAATGCTATAAGGCACTAGTAATGTTTAGCACCATCTATTAATAGAAGATGGATTCTGTAGTGTGAGACATACAGGTGGAGCTAACATTCTATTATTATAGTGCTTAATACCGGTGGTGCTTCTAAATATTTTTCATGATTTTAACATGCAAGTCCACTAAAATATTGGAAAAAATCCACATTTGATGTAATGCGAGGATAATCGAACCAATTTAATACGCCTTTTTTTTTTTCTTTGGCTGAATGACTAATACAATATGCTTGATTGCTTGTGAAGATCAGACTTTTATAAAACTGACCTCCTTTTTTGTTTTTTTTTTTTTCCTGGCTGAAGTACTTTTGTAACATTCTTTTTAACTTTTATTTTTCCCGCATAGCAGATTATCTAAAAACTGGCTTTTTTAATTATTTTTTATTGTAGGGCAGAAAGAAGGTATGAGAGACCTGTGTTTTGAGCTGATTGGAATTTCCATCCAACAGTGCAGCAGAATGCATAAAGTTCATATTTTACATTCTTCTGGCAGCTAAAATCCATTATGGATGGACATTTTTGTAGCCAATAACTGTGATGTTTCAGAAGAAAAAGAAAAAAAATAAAACTTTATAGTATTGGTGTCGTACAGGAAGGACTTGAATTATTGTTTAGGAAATGCCATGAATAAAGATGATTTTTTGTCCTAATATCCATAAACTGTCGTTTACTATCTTATTTTAGGTTCATTCTCTAAACAACAAAATAACCACAAATCAAATTACCAAATTTTAGCGCCTATTTCTAACGTTCAAACATCTACGATATAACGAATCAGAAAATAAAGCTTATAACGTGAACAACCTATTCATAAAACTTTACATTATAAGAATAAGATTATAAAAGAGTTACCACTCCAAAATTCAATGAAATTTATGTTCTTATTTTTGATGTGCTTTGATGGAAAAAGGATATTTAATTGGAGAGAAAAGATGACGATTAGAGGGAGAAATAAAATTACTTTGGTGCCTAAAATGTATTTTGGGAGTAATGGAATCAATATGTTATTTATTTATCAACTACCCTAAATTTTCACGGTTAATTTTTCTAACTGTGTCGACTATCAAAGTTGAGATGTACTAAATGACACGTTTAAAGTTTGAGGAATAAGATAGAATAAGTGACATAATTAAGGCACTATTATAAAAATAATTATTTTTCTTAATCAATCTTCTATGATATATAAGCTCCACGGAAAATATGAAACCGTTACGATGAGCTACAAGAAAAATGTGATTAAGTATCTTAAACAGACATATTTGGTATTTTTTTTAACACTATACCCTCTCAATTTGAAAAATTACCTTCTAAGCTTTAATTTTGATAATTAATCCCCTAATTTAAAAGGTTATAATGCAACCCTTTAAATCAGTGACATAAATGGCCATTAGCTCCTCACATTTTCAGCACTTGATCCTTAGTTGGTAAATTATCACTGAACTTCTTTTTTTTTTTATTTTAAGAAGAACCCACTCACTTTTAGTTTAATAATTAATCACTTTTTCCATCACTAATTTAAACGACATATCAATTTTCCTTAACCGAATAAAATACAAGTTAAATAAATTTTCCTCAAAATAAATAAAAAAATATTTCCATGTTACCCAAAAAAATATATATATTTCCATGAAAAAACAGTTATAAAATTAGTACACGTGGCATGTTGTAAATGGTTGAAACTTGATCGCGCATCCATATCAACACTCGCTATCTCGCACAACAGTCGTTCGAACTTTTGAACTCCTCGTAGCTGGCAATGTGGGCCCACACTGTTTCCCAAATTTCGATACCCAAAAAGCAAATAAGAAAAGAGACGACAAACGTGCGAAAACATTGGAGACTCGAAATCGAATGCCATGTCATCTCCAACACCAGTTCGAGTTATCCTCGAATTCTACGACTCTGAAACGGCGCGTTTCGTACCCTTCTCTTACTATATAAGCCCCTCTTCCCTCTTCCTTCCCTCCCTCTCTTTTCCTCTTCTCTCTCTGTTTTCAGAGGAAAAAAAGGAAACCCAAAAAAAAAAAAAAAAAAAAAAAGAGAAACCCTAGTAGCCTAGTTCTCACATTTTTTCTAACATTTATCGATCGCTAACCTTAATCGATCGCAAACCTTAATCGATCCTCGATTTCTATCAATTAGTGCTCAGATTGCATTTATTGTCGTTTGAATTTTTTCATTCCTTCGGGTTTTTTTGTTTGGTTTTTTATCGCGACGGCAATGGCGGCGGCGGCGGTTTCGGGAGTGGCTGCTTCATCGGTGGCTCCGACGGTGGTGGGGTTCGGGAATGCGTCGCTTTACGTCGGGGATCTGGACTCGAGCGTGAACGAGGCTCAGCTCCTTGACGTGTTCGGCCGCGTCGGTCAGGTGGTCTCCATTAGGGTTTGCAGGGATCAGGTTCGGAGGCACTCCCTTGGCTACGCCTATGTCAACTATGCCAATCCCCAAGATGGTCCGTACAATTCCATGTTTGATTTTCTCAACATTTTTTTTAAAGAAACTCTGTTTTTGAGTTTTTTTTTTTTTATGGTGATTTGTCAATGTCTTCTTTTAAGAAAATATTGGAGCTTTGCGGCAATGCTTTACGTCTCGTGGAAGATTCTATAGTTTCTTGCATTGTTTATTAGAATAATCGTTAAATAATGGTTTTTTTTTAATTTGTTATTTGATCGGATTTATTTTCTGACACGCTAAATATATAGACAATGGCATGTGAATTGCTGAAAAAGCAGATAATATTACGTTTTAATTTTAACTCTCTGAAACAAATCATACATGTTTTTTTTTTTTTTTTCCTTTGCTAAAAGCCTAAAACATATGCTTCTACAGCAATCTTAGCACATAGATTTTAAAATGTTGCGACTTCTGTATGTCCTATGTGTTTATTATTAAATTGTAAAGCGCGGCCAAGTTTATAACTTACCATTCTTGTGATCTTTAAATTTGCAGCTGTTAATGCCATAGAGCTTTTGAATTTCACTCCTATTAATGGGAAACCTATGAGAATTATGCTTTCTCATCGCGATCCTAGCATTCGGAAGAGTGGATATGCTAATATATTTATTAAAAATCTGGACACTTCACTTGATAACAAGGCATTGCATGACACATTTGCTGCATTTGGCACTATACTGTCCTGCAAGGTTGCGGTTGATAACAATGGTCAATCAAAAGGATACGGTTTTGTACAGTTTGACAAGGAGGAATCGGCACATACTGCTATCAACGAGCTGAATGGCATGTTGATTAATGACAAACAGGTTTATGTTGGACTTTTTGTGCGGAAACAGGAAAGGGCTCGGGCAAATGGATCACCCAAGTTTACCAATGTTTATGTAAAAAACTTATCGGAAACATTTAGTGATGAGGACCTTAAGAAACTTTTTAGCCCTTTTGGTACCATCACTAGTGCAGTTGTTATGAGGAACTCCAATGGGAAGTCCAGAAGTTTTGGATTTGTGAATTTTCAGAGCACAGATGAGGCTGCTGCTGCAGTTGAGAAGTTGAATGGCACCACTGATGGGGACACGGTTTTGTTTGTTGGAAGAGCTCAAAGGAAAGCAGAGAGAGAGGCTGAGTTGAGAGTGAAATTTGAACAGGAAAGAATCAGTAGATTTGAAAAGCTGCAAGGCGCTAATCTTTATCTTAAAAATCTTGATGACAGTATAAGTGATGAAAAGCTCAAGGAGCTATTCTCTGAGTTTGGAACAATAACATCAAGCAAGGTACATTTTTTGTTGGGAGTTAACACTTGCACCCCCTTTAACTTTTTGATGATTTGGTGTTTTCATCCATGGCCTTTTTCTTATAAATTGTTCCCTGAATTTTCCTAGAGTAGCAATTAACTCCCAAAGTTAACAGGGGACAAATTTTAGGAAATTCTACATCTAATTAAGGAACTAAATTACTAAAAAAGTAAATTTTGAGGGACTATAGTGCCAACTACGAGAAGTTTATGGGGCATAAGTGCTAAAAATTATTGTGATACTGTCCAAAATTTAACCTCCAACTCCAACAATAGGAGCTAATTGCTACTATTTTGTAAATTTAAGAACTAATTGCCAAAAAAATAATTCAGGGGCGAAAGTGCCAAATCACAAGTTTAGAGGGCATAGGTGCTAAAATCCTCAATGGATTGATTGTAAACATTTGTTAGGCAGTGACATTTATGTTTCTTTTTTCTGTTTTTAAAGGTCATGCTCGATTCGCAAGGGCTAAGCAAGGGTTCTGGCTTTGTTGCCTTCTCTACCCCAGAAGAAGCTACTAGAGCTGTAAGCTATTGATTACTCTCCTACATCCTTTTTATGGGCTGAGATTTTCTCAAGTTCAGCCATTCATCCTTTTTCTTATTCCATTAATTGTTCTAAAGAAAACTTCACTTACTTTTGTAATCAATGTTTTTCCTTTTCAGTTAAATGAAACGAATGGAAAGATGATTGGTAGGAAACCTCTGTACGTGGCTGTCGCCCAGCGGAAGGAAGAGAGAAAGGCAAGATTGGAGGTAGATTTTCCTTTTGTTTTTCATGAATTTAATGGAAGTCCTGTTAATATTCTCTTTTTGTTTGTGAAATTATATTGTTCCCTGTTCCATGGAAAGATATACATTGGAGATTGCAATGTTAGATTTTTGGCATTTTTGTCAACCATACCATGTTTTTTTTGGTTTCTAAATACTCTTTGCTTCTGAATTATTTTACTTCATAACAGGAGGTTGGGATAACCATTGAGTCATTTCTCTTTATCAATCATATGAATTTTCTAAATCTTTTTTGTTTCCTAGGTGCACTTCGCTCAAATTCAAGCACCTGGTGGAATGACACCTTTGCCATCAGGAATTCCTGGGTTCCATCCTGCAACACCTAGGCTTGGTCCTCAGCAGCTTTATTTTGGTCAAGGTACTCCTGGTATTATACCCCCTCAACCTGCTGGTTTCGGCTTTCAGCAACAACTCTTGCCGGGAATCCGACCAGGTGTGGCACCAAATTTCGTTATGCCATACCACCTTCAGAGGCAAGGGCAACCTGGACAACGGATGGCCGCACGTCGTGGTGGGAATCTTCAACCATTGCAGCAACAGCAGGCATGTCATTTGTTAATACAAGTTATATAACTAAACTGGTGTTTTTGTTTAACTTAGTTGATATGTTTTGAAGTGCAATCGTTTCACTATGAATGCAAATGAACTTTTGCCCTTCTACGGTTGCATGACTTAAAAGGGTGCATCACCAGGCATATCTGCTCAGCCGTTATTAATAATTGTTATTGGAATATTTATGCGTAGCAGGTTGATCGTGTTCATTCTACATCTTTTTACAAGTTGATGATAGATTGCAATTATCATTGTTAATGGAAGATATAGAACTGTTAAATGTGCTATTTTGTTTGCTGAAGTTGTACTCTCAAACTCTGCTCTTATTTAATTATATATAAATAGACGAGAGCTATTGGGGTATCAGTGGTTTTTGTCCTTCCCATGTACCTTTTTGTTTGATATCGTTGCTTTTTAAATGCGTTTCTTTGTTTCTTTGTTTCTTTGTGTTGGTAGATGTAGTTTAGCCGCTCTAACTTAGATCCTTTGTTGAGTTGAGATTTTAGTGACAGATAATATCATTGGTGTCAATTTTGTGCATGAAGAGACGAATTTGTTAATTTTGTTTTCACCTCTTAATATTGTTCAAACTTCAAAACAAATACAGTTGCATCAGCGGAACTCCAATCAAGGTGTGAGGTACATGCAAAATGGAAGGAATGGCATGGATCCATCTCTGATTTCTCATGGTCGGTTGAATCCAATGACATTGCGGTTTGATGGTTCTGTGCCTGTGTCTCCTGTGGATGTCCAACGACCTGGGCCAGTGCCAATGTCAACACTTGCTTCTGCTTTAGCCTCGGCTACACCAGAGAACCAGCGATTGGTACATTCAAAGTCCCTTTTGTTTTCTTGTGTCTGCAACTTTTAGTTTAATTCCTACGAACCCTTCTATCCAGAAATTAAACTGGAAGACAAATTAAGCTAAACTAATCTCATTCCATTTTAAAACAACAGATGCTTGGAGAGCAGCTGTATCCGCTTGTGGAGCGCCTTGAGCCAGAGTATTCAGGGAAGGTGACTGGCATGTTGCTTGAGATGGACCAAACAGAGGTTCTACATCTTATCGAGTCTCCAGATGCTCTGAAGGATAAGGTGGCTGAAGCGATGGACGTCCTTCATAAAGTTTCGTCTAAGTCTGATGTTGCAGATCAGCTTGGCTCGTTGGCACTCGGTGAATGAAGCAATCCTTTCATCACATTAGTGGTGAATTGGAGTACATCTTTGCTTATCCATATTTTCCATTTTTGGGGCTTTTTTTTTTTTTTTTTGTAGGCCTTCCGGAGTTTTTGGTGGTGGGTTCTTACTCTGGAGTTATTTTAGCCTCACATTCTTTTTTTTCTCCATATGCCAAACTGATTGTGATTTTTTGGCCTCCAATTTGATATTGGAGGGACTTGAGGACTTACGATTGTTTTAGGATTTCTTTTCTCCGTGTTTTCTAGTTCTATTTTAGATATATAGGATTTGGATGTTGTTAGACCTTTTCTTTTCCTATTTATTTTTGCTTTTAGCTATTATTATTATTAGACAGTTTCTTTGAGTTTCCATTGGATGTACAATCTGAATTTTGCGTTAGAGATTACTCATGTTGTTTGATCCCGTGTATGGAACGGATAGGGTAATCGGGTGAAGAGTTTTATGCGTAACTCGAAGCTTCAAAATGAAACTCTCGCATTTCAAATGCTTCCAGTCTATTCATTTTCACTTTTCTTTTTTCCCCTTACGTTCTTGTCATTTCGAAATGCATGGATAAATGATAAAATTGATCTAGAATGTGAACCTACACGTTCACCATAGCGTGCAACACGCACTAAGCCACGCAAGAAGTGATCTCGTTCTCACTCAACTTAGAAAAAGAAAACCAGTTCTGTTTTTTCCGAGAATATGGTTTTAGATTAAAGCAAAATATTTTGAATTAAAACTAAAAAATTGCTAGTGTTGTCATGGACCAATTGACCATGAACAAATCTATTCAGCTACTATGCCGCTTTTGCCATATCACTGTGTAATTCAGGAAACCTCTATGTTCTAGTTGATTTAAACAAGGGCAGAAGAATTGAAAGAGCCAACCGAAGAGAGGTTCAAAGAAAATCAGGGTGGATCTCATCTTCTATCTTTTCGTCGTTGGTTAAAGGCCGGAAGATTTTATTGCTCAAATCACCCGCTTGGTAGTTGGCGCCCTTGTCGTAGTCTTCGTCGTCCTGGGTTATGTAGGCACTCCATTTGGAAGCCTCTCTTCCCCTTTTGAACTGACATTTTCTTGACTCCTGGACATCCTCTCTAGTCTTGTAATGACCCCATTTTGAGTTCTCCTTGGCAGTTGTCAAGTCATGTTCCTCATGGATCCTTGGCTCCTTCTCTGGATTTGACTCTTTGTCAACCATTCAATTAACTTGTGAAGTTACGAATGTCAAATGTACAATTTCCATTTCAAACTTTCAAAATCTTCTGAAAAGATAATTTCAAGTCCCAGAAATCAGAACTAGCTTTCGCCTTTCAGTTCTAGCATTCTCTGTGACTTCTTGATTTTCATTTCCACAGTCATGTTACGCTCTCCAAACACCAGAACCATTTCTTCTGGTAAAAATACTCTGACTAATTCTAAATCTTCATTTTGCTTTCTTTAACTTCATTCTTTTTTTCTTCTAATTAATGTAAACCCATGTGAATGGTTTGAATATATGCTTATGTTCTTACGTATTATTATATATCATCTGTGTATGAAAAGCCTTGAAAATCAAATAAAGGATGAACAAAAACAAAGATCAATTACCTTGAAAAAGCACTCGTTTGTTGGAATTTCTCTTGGAGAAAACAGGTTTGTAAAGTTCATCACCATCACCATCAGCACTCCTGTTCAGCTTCGCTTTCTTGTACAATCCCTCTGGCAACTCCGTCACAATCTCCAGCTCAAAACCACATTCTGCTGAATTCTCTATACCAATTAGAAATTTCTGTTTTCCTCTTTCAATTTCCCCCAATTTTCAAAAACCTAATTTTCCAAAAAAAAAAAGTTTTCCTCACCTGGTTCGACTCCTCCTTGTTCAATGTCCTCACAGATTTCGTGATCGGGATCGAGGAATTCGGTCCAATCGGTGCGCGGCCTCTTGCCATCGGAGGGGGAAAGATGTTGGAGCGGAGGATCGTCCTCCAATGGCGGATCATATGATGATGAGGAATGGTTTTGGAATTGGCGAGACATGTTGAAGGACTGGACGAAGAGACGGAGGTCCTTGGCCATGGGACCTTGAGCGAAGACCTTCCGAATCGATTGCTTCTGATTGCAGACAACGCATGTCCATTTGTTGCTCTTGCTGCTCTTCTTCCTCTGCTTCACCTTCGCAATCAAAGATCGCCATCAACATCAATGGAGATTTCACGGACATTGTTAATGTGAGAGAGAGAGAGAGAGAGATGTGAGAGAAATACTTGCATGGTGGAGCATTGGCAGCATTGGAGGGCCATGAAGAAGATGGTAGTCGACATTCCCTACAGGCCTACCTTGCGATTTCTGTCTCTCTTTTTTGTTTTTTTTTTTTTTTTGGGTGAGCAAATAAACTCTTTTGGGATTTTGATTTGGGAGTTTGGCGCCAAAATGTTTTAAATTAAGGCATTGGCTCTTGCCGCCTTTATAGGGACGGCTAGGAACAAAGCGGCACCGTTTTTCAAAAAGAAGACAAATAATTGTTTCATAAAGTCTCTATAGATAGTTTGGTTCATGTATTCAGAATCATTTTTATTTTACGTGTGTTTTTTATGAGAAAAAAATATTGTAAAAAATTATGAATTATGATTCAGAATCATACACGAATACATGAAACAAACATTATTATGGCAAATTATTCCTTAAAAGCAAGCTAAAAACAAAATGATGCAGAATAGCCCTAAATTGATGAAGACACTTAAATATTAGACACAAGATAATGGGTAAGCTTATTTGAAGGAAGAGATTGAATTTCAAATAGCAAGTGACGGAGCCTTCACATTGACTTTTAAAAATTAATTTTACTCTTAAAAGTTTTTGAAAATTTCATTTATGTTACTTATAAAAAAAATTATAATTATGTCTTAACTCAATAATAGAAATATATAACAATGTCTTTATGTAATAACAAATTATCTCTAATTATTTTTTTATGATTCCTTTACTAAAAACAATTGTGACTCTCATCTCATGCAACGTAAAGTGAGCATTTTTGTACAAATTTCATAAATTATATAGTAGATTGAGTGTACTATATCATTATCTTATTTGGCACACAGTACACTCACAAAATGAAGAGCTACTATTTGCGTGGTTTATTAAGGAGATACTTTTTGGTAAGGGTTTCTATTAATAGTGTTTATTTCTAATCGTTAGATATGGTTAAAAAGTTTATGATCAGTTCGGTCCGATTTAAAATTTTATAAGGTATTTTTAAACAAATATTTAAAGGGAGAAAGAGGAAAATAGGCCAAGACTTGAAATGAATTAAAATTAATAGGCTAATAGTTTACATAAGTTAAGAAATAGGCCAAATTACTGTTTTCGTCCATAACTTGTCTGGTTATGAACCATAACTTGACAAGTTATGGTTCATAACTTGTCTGGTTATGAACCATAACTTGACAAGTTTGTCCATGACTTATCTGGTTATGAACCATAACTTGACAAGTTATGATCTATTAATTTATATAACTAAAAATTGACCTATATACTTTCTTAAGCTTTTCATATTGGCATATTTTCTACTCTTTCTCATATTTAAAAATATGATGTTTGGGTTGGGCCAAAAGAGATAAGGTTGGCCCAACCCTGTCATGCCTTAAGCTCAAAAAAATTAGGGTCACGACCAGCCCATTTATCCCAACCCAAACTTGAAGCTCTACTTAAATACTTCTAAAAAAAGGACATGTGACGTAAACATATTTTCGTCTAATATAGGAAAGGAAGTAGAAAATTTCATGCAACTTTAAAATTGAAAGAGAAAGGATGTTATGGATTGAAATTTGTGTTGTTATAGCGCTACAAATTTAAGGCCCCTATTTGGTACACATATTTTAACTCGTAATTTTAATTTTGCTACAGTGTTTTTATCTCACAAAAAATTTAAATAGAAAAAATTCATGTAAATAGTTCTCTTACAAAAAATTTAAGTATGAATTAGAATCACTGACTTAAACGCACGAACCAAACAGAGTCTAAGGGTCCATTCAGTTCTCTTATTCGAGTTTTTAATTCAAGTTGAGATGTGACTTTATATGAGAGCTTTTATACTGTAGCAAAAAAGTTAGATGTGACTGTTTCTAAGAGCTTTTTACTGTAGCAAAACTCAAATTCTAAACTTGAATCGGCGAAATAAACAGGTCCCAAGAGATGTTTACGAATTTTATGTAGTTTTTTCTTTAATATTTTTCCTTATGCTAAAAATCTAGGACTTTAAATTAAAAAAAAAAAAAAAAGACGTACCAATCAAATTCAGAAAAAGGAACCTTCTCTGCCATGAAGGAAGAGGATAAAAAAAATAAAAAAACTAAACCTTTATATATTTCATGAAGTGAAATTTACACTACATGGCAATGACATGTTCTTTTAAACTGAATTTTTTAAAGAGTAACAAAAATTCGTGTAGTAATTTTATAAGGAGTTTCTCTCATATACCATCTTTTTAGGACTATCTGCCGACCAAGTTAAAAAACTATTTGACTATGATCTCATTGGTTGAGAAACTGATGACGATGTAAAAAAGGGTTTAGTTCTCTTTTTGTTTTTATTATGCGCCGCTTTAACTGTAGGCTTCACTGGGCCGGAGTCTGGCGTCGCCGTAAGACAATGCTCTAGACTCCTGGCCCCAAGGGAGGGTCACCAGATGCGGCGGCTTGGATCTCTCCAGGATGATGTCATCGAGTTCGTGGGTGGGAGAGGGATGACTAGTGGTTGGGGGCAATTGGCGCGACATCCATTTGGCTTGCCATCCTTGGGTGCATCCTTACTCTGATAGATCTAAGCCCATTGGGGCATGGCTCCCTCAAATCGATGATTCCTTCAAGGGGCTGGTGGTTGGTTCGGCGATCAAAGATGGTGACAGAGGAAGTGGATTGGGTGTCTTCTTTGAGTAGCGTGTTGTGTTACGACTCTCTTGCCCATCCGTGGTGGTGCTCGGCGCGTCATTAGAGTCTCTACCAATGTCTTTTGGTGTTTACTCTCTTTGTTTTAATTTGTGTGTTTGTAATAAGGTGTTAATATTTCTACCGTTATGTTTTAGTTTGTTTATATTTCGTTGTTAGTCACTGATGTGTGTTTGGCCTTGTATTGTTTTAGTTTTTTGTGTCGCTGATGTCACCTCGTTATGGGGGTTGGTAATACCTTCCAAAGCGCGAAAGTTTATCTCGACGGGAAGGGTTTCTTTTACTAGAGCCTTAATTGTGCTCTTTAGTAGTGTATCGAGATATTTCATTTTCGGACCTCAGACATGCCTCTGTTCACTTATTGAGTCATTAGGGATGTGTCATGTGCATTTGTATATAATGTTGTTGTAAGTACAGATATCACATTATCTAATAACAATGCAGCTTTTCTTTCAAACAAAAAAAAAACTGATGATATATCAGCATTTTGTGTACGCACACGTATCATATAAAACAAAGCATTTTAAAAATCAATCAACTTTTGTCAATTATTACACTTAGTGTAGGGTCCACTAATAATCATCACATCCCTTTTCAAAACCTAACTTTTTTTAAGGCTCCGTTTATTTTATCAATTCAAATTTTGTTACAGAAAAAAAGTTTAAAAAACAATCACATTGAACTTTTTCACTAAAATAAAATGTTATTACATAAAGTCACATATCAACTTAAATTAGCGAACTAAACGGACCTTAATTATCTCTCTATGCTTCTTATTTTAACTTTACTTTCTTTTCATTTTCTTCTTTCTTCTTCCTTCTTCGCTCAGGAAAAAAAGAGTAAGGCCTCATTCATTTCACCGATTCGAGTTTTCAATTTTAAGTTTTTATAGTAAAAAGTTATCAGAAAATGTCACATCTAACTTTTTCTGCTACAGTGAAAAACTCTCAGAAAATATCACATCTCAACTCGAATTGAAAACTCGAATCCGCAAAGTGAACGAGCCCTAAAGTTTTTCTAGAATTTCGTCTTTAAAATTGGGTTTTTAATTTTGATTTTACATTCATGCAAAAATAGAGGGAAAAAAAAATAAAACTATAATTCTTCTGTTGTTTGCGACGACAAGGTAAAACGGGAAATCAAATTGGACCCATATTTTCAAAATGTATCACAGAGACTTGAAAGGCGCCTCTTCGTGTCGAAGGCATAGACTTGAAATCAACCGTTTTAGTAAGGATCGGATTTTGAAAGGAGAAATTTTTTTGGATCTGGACAGACATATCCCAAGCCAAACAAAATTTTTTCAGAAAAAGAGAAAAAAGAGGAACTATTTAAGAGTGTTTGATATGAAAATTCGTATCATAATTCATGACATGACGCGTTATAATATATTTTTTTTTATAAAAACATATACATAAATAAAAAATAATAATTTTAATTTATAATTTTAAATCTATAATCAAACACTACTTAAATCTCATGTTTTCTTGAAGTTGGTGGAGGTGGTGCTGATGCTCCAGCGTCCACTGAAGAGTTGTCGACGAGAAAAAAAGACAGCACAGAAAGCAAGGAAAGATGAATTCAAAAGACCAAGCAGAAAAAATACTATGTGGTTGAATACATGCTGTTATCGTACACCTTACACATGACAGCCAATAGAAATTAAATTTTTACTAGGCCTACCGGTCCCAAAAAGATGGGTGCACGTGAGAAACTCCCATTTCTATAATGGTTTTCATATTTTAGTCTATAAAATTACATAATAATTATCATAAGGATTTTAATTTATTTTGTTTGTAAAGTATTTTCATTTTTTATATACTTCAGTCAAGTCATATGTATAGGACTCGCGCCCAAAGGGCCAAGCCAGAAAAAACCTACACACAAACACCCCAAAGAGTCAGCGGAATCACAACAAGAGAGATTTCCATGGATTCCCACATAGAGAGGGTTCTCTGGACCCAAGACCAGATCGCCGCCCGAGTCTCCTCCCTCGCCTCCCAAATCTCTGCCGATCTCTCCGCCCTCTCTCCGCCTCCCTCCGTCGCCGTCGTTGGCGTTGCCACCGGCGCATTTCTCTTCCTCGCCGACCTCGTCCGCCTCATCCGCCTTCCCGTCTCCGTCGACTTCGTCCGCGCCGAATCCTACGGCTCCGGCACCGAGTCCTCCGGCCGACCGAGAATCTCCTCCGGTTTGAAGCTCGATGTCAAGGGAAAGCACGTAATCCTGGTAACGTAATATGTGAAGTTTAGCTGCTTGTTTGTTTGTTTCTCGAGAAAATGTATGTGATGGTGTGTTTGGTGGTAATTGGAAGGGTGTTTTGGACTTTTTGGCGCCAGGTTGAGGACATTGTGGATACGGGAAGCACAGTGGCGTGTCTGGTGGAGCACTTGAAATCCAAAGGAGCGACGTCTGTATCGGTGTGTACTTTTCTTGATAAACCAGCGAGGAGAAAAGTTCAGTTTGAGCTTGTTGGCCAGGGCAAGTTTTATGCTGGATTTGAGGTAGGGATTCTTGATTATCCCTTTATTTATTTTTTTTCCTGTTTTCCCTCCCTAAATTTATGCATTATTAGAAATAATAATTTATATTTATTTGTTTATAATTTACTGACACATTGACTCTCCTATTTTATTTTGTGTTTAAATAATATAATTTATTATCAAATAATAAATATAAAAAATAATAGAAAAAATAACGTTAACATTTCTCTAATTCTTATAATGTTCAATTATTATAACAAGTTTGCTTAAGAATGGTATTAAAAAAATTATCTTAATTTTACGGTGTTCAACAAACCAACTAATCCAATCATTGGACATGTGCAATCCAATCTGCAATTCAATACTCATATGATCCTATATGATATCATGTACGCAGATTGGATTGATTTTTTTTCCCCCTATGTTTTGAATCTAGTCCCCAAAAATTGGATTTTTTTTTTGAAAATTTCTTATCCAAAATATTTTCTTTTGAAAAATACAACATGCTTGCGAATTTAAACAGTGAAGTGATATTAAAAATGAAAACTAATCCGATCATAAATTATTAAATTCGTTGTCACTTTAGACAAGTGATAACAAAACTAAGATTCACAATTCCACGTAAAAACATAAACTATAGTTAGTGCGGACCGTTTTGACTAATTACTTTTTACATTAGCAACAATCGATCCGAATTTAACCCATTTTTAACAAATTCCATCTGATCCAATATGCACTTATTTGGCTATTCACACTTTGTAGATTGGATTGGATTGAGTGAATTGGTTATTTGCAAGCTTTTAACACCCCTACTTTAATTTCATCATGATTAATGTTTAAAAAGCAAATTTCAATTGCAATTTCCCAAAAATATAAAGCATTTTAGGAACAAAGGACCAAAATGGAGAAAAATATGCTAGAAAGCAGGGTGTACTTTTTGTTATATGAATTAACACGAGCAATTCATCATTTTGATTTTTATGCATCCACTCTTTTGCCGAAACATATAGGAGTTGTTTGGTTGGGGGATTCGTACCCCGATTTGAATCATAATTCGTTGTTCGTTACAGTATTTTTTCTTACAAAAAATATACGTAATTCAAAAATTGTTCTAATCTCATGATTTTAATCCACGAACTAAATGTCTCCATAATTGTCTTGGTGTCGCATATGACCACTACTACCACACAATGACATTTCATACCTTTTTTTGTCTTTAATCTGTCTTGCAGTGTCCAGATTACTTTGTTGTGGGATATGGGATGGACTTTGCCGAATTATACAGGAATCTGCCTTATGTTGGTGTTTTGAAACCTGAACATTACAAGTGATTTGAATTTCCAAATCGATTGAGACCGTGCTCAAATACTCAGAGTTGAATTTTCCTTGTCACTTTTTATGAACTTCATCAGAAATTTTGATGTTGATGTTGGTTTAATTAACCGTTTTATGAAAACATCGGAAGAATCAATTATACCAATTTATTTATTTTATTTTATTTTTTGAGATTACATGGTGCTAGAAGCCAATTCTAAAACCAGAATTTATGAACTATATGAGAAATTTTTAATGTTGATGTTGGTTTAATTAACCATTTTATCAAAAAGATTGAAAGAAGCGATTATGCCAATTGAACATTTTATTTTCTTAAGAGAAATACTGCTTCAAAAAAGTCGGGTTGTAATTTAAAATTTTTTGTATTAAAGGGCCTCTACTTTTTTGTATTAAATATGCTATATTGTGTATTTTTCTTTTTTCTTTTTCTTTTTCTAAGCAAAAACCAGTATATTGTAAGTTCCACGTGGACTAAACAAAAGCGCCCAAATCCGTTATCCCCCTATTATTTCCTTTGTTTCCCGCAAATTAAAAAAGAAAAAAATTAACAACACATCTATTAAAGTGAGTTAATAGTGTACATGAAGAACGAAGTTTACAAGCGTAGCCCACTTCAACAAATCAATCAGAAAAAGATAGATATCTCCAGCGTCTTATCGTTCATCTGGCTCTGGCATTGAAAGCGCACGGATCTTTCTAATTCTTTTATACCAATTTTGGAGTTATTGAGTTATTAATTTACATGATAATCTTTTAAATATTTATTAAAAAAATGATGATAATTTAAAAATTGGTATAAGAATTGAGATTAAAATTAGTGACCCTAACGGTATTGAGAAGTTTTAAGCTTCGTTCATTTTATCGATTTGAATTTTTAGTTTTAAATTTTTACAGTTAAATGTCACATTTAACTTTTTTAATTATAATTAAAAATTATTAAAAAATATAACATTTTAATTCAAATTAAAAACTTAAATTCGTAAAATTAACTAGGCTTTAATATCTTCTGTTTTGTCCTTCATGTTTATGTCATTTAAGTTGCCAGCCTAGTTATTTCATCATTTGCTTGTATAAAAGGCTAATATGCCTTCCTTGTAGGCAGCTTTGGAAAGATATTGTGAGATATTGTTGCTTGCCGATGAAGGTCGGGAGTCTTGTCAGGTTTGATGAAGCGGGATTTGACGTTTTGAGTTGAGCATTTATATATTTAGGTATGATGATATGGTTGGACCTAGACCTCAATAACAGTTGGTAGGGGTGTAAATCGGCTGGGTAGGGTAGGGTTGAGTCGAAAAATTGAGCCTACTCGATCAGTGTGGGTTGAGAAAATTTTAGATCGTGACACTCTCTTAAGTCTACAAACCCACAACTTTTCGGGTGACCTCGGGTAGGGTCGGGTTGGTGAAAACTAATTTTAATCTATGATTTCATCAATTTTAATCAATTTTTAGTCAATTAATCTGTGCTTGTTACAAAAGAAACCATTATCAAACAGAACATGTATTTCCTTCAAAATGAGGTCTAAATGCAAGGTGAACAATTAAAACACTCACTTTGAAATCAAACACTTCCAATATAAATAAAGAATGTCCTAATTCAACAACTATGGCATACAAGTATTTTTTACACAAACCGTGAATCCAAAACATAAATAAGTTAACAGTTTAAAAGCATAAAGCCTATAAACTTATGAAAGTAAGAATTTGAAGTGTTGGACATTGTTTTACCTACTTTGAACATGTTCGGCCGGGTAGGGTTACCTCGGGTTCATGTAACCCCACCCCGCGCAGTGCGGGTTAGGCATAATTAAAACTGAAAATTAAATAAAAAATTGGAAACCCGTGATTTTTGATTTTCGAGTAGGATCGGCTCGGCTCAGCCGGGTTCGTCGGGTTCAGGGTGATTTCTTACAGCCCTAACAGTTGGAAGTTAAGATGCCCCTCCGAAGTTGCCGTTTGATGACCTAGCATTTAACAATTTTATACTAAATAAATACTTTGTTTACTACTTTTTATACCTAAAAAATCATTATTTACCCAGTATTTATCAATTTATTTATTAGAAAAGGTATTATTTACTCAATATTTTCAATCCATTGTTAATAGATATATTATTTACCTAGTAAATTCATCATTCATGTAATAAAAATATAATTTATCAATTTTTATCACCAAATATAAGTTTTTATTTACCTCAAATTGGAAAAGGAAATACCCAAATTGAAAGTTAATTGTGTAAAGTTTTCCATTACTCTAGATTTGAAACTAACCCTAATGTGACTACCACCACCAATAAAGGATCTCTAGATAGAGAAGAAAATGAGATTCGAGTTCGCGATAATGTCACGAGCCTTGTCGTGACGTGGCAAGCCTTCTTTGTCCCCTGTCGCCATGATAAGGCAGCCCGTCGATTGAGTCCTATGGTCGCGGGATTTAGGGAGAGGTGAGACATGGTAGTTTAAAAATTCACTTTTATTATTATTATTTTTTAAAGAAGAAATTCACTTTTATTCTGTTCATTATTTTCATTCTCAAAACTTCCAGCCATTTTTAAATTACCCTTAAAGAAGTTGCTGAAATTACCCCCATTTATTTCACCGATTTAAATTTTGTTACAGTAAAAAGTTTTCAGAAACAGTCACATCTAACTTTTTTGTTACAGTAAAAAACTCTCACCGTAAAAAACTTGAATCAGCGAACTGAACAGGCGTATGAGTGTGAATTTTTACCTATTATTTTTAATTAATATCATTTTAATTAATATAATTATTTAACTAAACAAAATATTAATTAAAAATAACATATAAAAATTAATACTTGTGCCTTTCTCCTTGTTTCCCTCCACCACCTTTCTCCCATGAACCTCCAAGTACTCTCATCTCCACTTGGGCCTACTCTAGGCCCAACATAAACAAGCGCTACAAATCAACACCTCCATACACCTCACTCGGAGCGAAGAGAGTAGAAGGAAGAAAACAAACCGAACCGGCAAAGCAGCGGCGACGAAGGCGAGGAAAGCCATGAGAGGAACATCAACAGCAGCAAGAGCTCTTCTGAAACTCTGTTTTCGCCACTCGAACCTTCCCCGCCGATCACCCACGAACCCCGACACTTCTCTTCTCGGTCTCAGCAGGTTTCTCTCTTCCACCGGAATCGCCCACATCACCATCGAAACCACCACTCGTCTGAACAACGTCGACAAACAACCGAACCCCAGAAGCGACATGGTTCTCCCGCAGAAACCCATTTCTTATAAGGAGATGAATGAGGCGAAGCTGGCGAGTTTTCGGCATCTGGGTGTGGGCCAGCGGCTGACTGAGGCTGTTAAGGAGCTGGGTATTCTGTTTCCTGCGGAGATTCACTGTGCTGGGATTCCTCCAATCTTGAAAGGGAAGAGTTTGGTTCTCACTTCTCATAATGAGTCTGTTGGGTCTTTCACTCTTGGGGTCTTAACCTACTTGTTGCCTTTGATTCAGGTAATCCAGATTTTGTGTTTTTGTTGTGCACTTGTGCTTCCTTTTTCTGGGTCGTGTTTTGTTTTGTTTTTTTGCTGAAATTGATCGTTTTTGCTTTGTTATACGTAATTGATTCCCACTTGTAAGTGTTCTGCCCTTTGCTTTGTGAATGATTTCTATTTTATGATGATATATGTATTTGAGTGACACTGAGTGGCGACACAAATGAAGTTCGTTTGAGAAAATATGGCCTTGACTTTGTCATTAAAAAAAATGTCCATGTAAAGTTTGTCATAAGAGATATTCTATGTTTCGATGCAAGTCGTATGTCAATTGATGAGATGTATTTGTTATGCTTTTTGGTTTGTCATTTCTGTTTCTGTTTAAGTGGCCATAAAATTAAAAAAAAGAAAGAAAGAAAAACTGTGATTTTGCCTTGAAAACGTATGTGAAACAAAACTTGTCCTGTTAGTTGGTGCGGTAAGAATTGTCTTTATTAATACATTCCTCAAATTCCAAAAGAAGCCTACTATTTTGAAATGAATGAATGGGCATTATTTACTGTGTATATTTGTTATCAGGTTTCATAAAGTAATTTCTTCTCTGATTCCTCACGCTAATGCTTAAATTTATGGAGCGATGAAATTGGGTGCATTGTGATTTTCCGAGTATTTATGAAATGCCTGGGATTGACATTAATGGGCTCTGCAGCTCCTTACTGTGGTAAAGTTCCTTCTCAAACCTGTGAAGTCGAAGACTACAGTGGAGGATGGTCAACTTGAGTCTAACGTTCAGGAAGATGCATCGGATGCTTCAGTTGGCCTATTGGTTACAACACCTGGTGAAGTGCTTCAGAAAATAGAGGAGGGTAGCGTTGTCCCTAATGAAATCAGATACTTGGTTAGTTCCCTTGTGCATTGTTTAGTTCAATTAGTACCAAAGTTCTCAATTTTCCTCGGATGTAGAAGTCTTCTTGTCTCTTTTGTTAGACTTGAAATTCTTTTTATGTCTTGTACTATATTGAATGATGACATTGATTTTTAATAGGTATTCGATGAGGTGGATGATATATTTAATCATGGCTTAGGTCCTGAGATTCAGAAATTCCTGAGTCCACTAAAGGAACATGCATCAAACTCTAATGATCAAAGTGTACAAACTATTTTGGTTACTTCAATGATAACAAAGGTGCGGGAGACTGGTCTGTCATCTTAGTTTTGGAATTCTTTCACACATTTTTAGGGACCGCTTGTTAGTTTTATTGAGTTTCTATATTTGCATAAAATTCTAGGTTCTACGTGAAGATCTATCTTCCCTTGTGGAGCATCTTGAAAGTAGTCACGCAGAAGTTGCCGCGATAACAGTTGAAATAGACCAAACAGAAGCATTTCATCTCCTCGAGTCACCAGAAGCTCTAAAGAAAAAAGCTGAAGAGGTCGTCCACTCTCTTCAGCCATCTTCATGAGGATCTCGTTGTATTCAACTTTTTCGTATGTTTATGCCGAAGCATCGAACCCAGTCGAACTTCCATCAGTGACTTCATTTCATTTTTATTCTTGCCGGGAGTCCATTCTAGAGGGCTTCGCGAGTTGTAATTTTTTTGCTTATTCAGTTAGATACTGACATACCGAGATTTATACCTTTAGTTGGATTTTATCATAGTAGCTGAAATTTATCAGGCCGGAAGTTGGATATTTGTTGAATACAAACTAGTGTTCGCTTTTTGTACCCTTTGACGCATTGTCACGAATTGTACTGCATAAGAGTGTTTTTACAGTACGGTACAATTTGTCACGACATATAGACCAATGTCGTTCCGAAATAAATTAAATTTGTACAATTGGCAAGTTTAGGTCTTTCTTCTTGATTTTGATCAGTGTTCTTTGTTTGCTTATGCTGAATCAATGGAGCTCGCATGGTCCCATTTCCATTTTATAAGGCTTTGCATGTTGTTAGCAATCATTCCTTGCCGGGACTAGTTACATTCAGTCGGGTTTGATGTTTGAAATTTCACGAATGGGATTCAAAAACTAGTGTTATCTCTACTGATCATAGTAAATTCTAGATTTACAGTGCAAATTGAAGATTTACAAAAGAATAGGAATTGTGTTCTGATAGTAAATCTTATATGGTAAAACTTAGATTTACACTATAAATACAAGATTTACGAATAACACAATATGTGTGCTAATGGTAAATCCTGGATCTACCGTACGATAAATTCTAGATTTATGAGCATAATTAAAAAGTATTTATCGTACATTAGTAAAGTTACGATTGGTGATGAGAGAGAGAAGAGCATACCGACAAACGAGAGAGAGCATACCGACAAACGAGAGCGAGAGAGAGAGAGAGAGAGAGAGAGAGAGAGAGAGAGAGAGAGAGAGAGAGAGAGAGAGAGAGAGAGAGAGAGAGAGAGAGAGAGAGAGAGAGAGAGAGAGAGAGAGAGAGAGAGAGAGAGAGAGAGAGAGAGAGAGAGAGAGAGAGAGAGAGAGAGAGAGAGAGAGAGAGAGAGAGAGAGAGAGAGAGAGAGAGAGAGAGAGAGAGAGAGAGAGAGAGAGAGAGAGAGAGAGAGAGAAAAAAAAGATATAATTGAAAAGTAAAAAATTCAAAACATAAAAAGACCCTATTAATTTTTGTACATTGGTAAATTAGTTATTTATTAACATAAGTTTTAAATGTGGGCTTATTTTTTACAATTGGCCTTGATAATTCATGTACAAACTGTTTAAGGGAACGCCCATAGGGTAATACCTTAATATATGGGCGTTTTTATGAGATAAATCTTCGGCCTCGTTTATTTCACCGATTCAAATTTTCAGTTTTAGGTTTCTACAGTAAAAAACTCACAGAAAATGTCACATCTAACTTTTTTTGTTACAGTGAAAAGCTCTAAAAAAATGTCACATCTCAGCTTGAATTGAAAACTCGAATCTGCGAAATGAACGAAGTACTCGCATACGTCAGATAGCACTATGTGAGTAGGATGAATCCCATTTTCTGTCTACTTTGGTCGATCAGTTTGATTAGTTATCTCAATAAGAGCAACGTGACTAGGGGATATAGTACTGAAATATGGCTTGATACGTCAATCAAATAAGCTTGATACCTCGGCCGTAAATTGAAAGGAATTATGAGGGTATTTTTGGAATTCTCTCGGGATTCTTTGTATTTTTTTTAATTTTTTTTTTTAACAGAGCCTAAATAGCTAAAAATGACCACATTGATTTACTTATTTCTCAATAATTAATCGGAATAGGTGGTGGAGTTGTCGTCCAGGGAGAGAGAGATGGATCACCTACTCAAAAAGGATCCATGAACTAGATAATCATCAGCATAACTAACATTAAGAACGGAAAGGAGAGAAGGAAGTCAAAGATCACCAAAACCACTCTCTTACGCAAACTGTTAACAAATCCTCAAAATCCAACTCCTCCCATTTGGATTATCATTATATATATTGTATTTAACCATATCATGCGTATCATATCACCTCAATGGCTCGCCAGCTTCCTCTCTTCTCCCACAACCCACAAAGTACAAACACGTTTCAACTTGGCATGGGAGGGATGACCCTTTTCCTGTGCGCCATGGCGCTGTTCATGTGCGCCTCGCACTCGCGTAGATGGCGTGAATGGAGAGCTTGCTATGAACCCGACACCGATGATCCTGTTATGCACATTCAACACGGAAATATCGAACGAAGCACGGATGCTAGCGATGAACAAGAAGTCTCGGTTTGGCAGAAGAACATACTGATGGGTGGAAAGTGCCAACTGCCCGACTTTTCTGGTGTCATAATCTATGACTCGGAAGGGAATGTTGTCACACCTGCCAAAAGTCCGCGTTTATTACTAACCTGGAAGTAGGCTACGAGGGAAAGCCAGTTTCAGTTTTATATATATTATATATTATACATATGGATAGGTATATATCAAATTTGTTCTTGTTGTTACTACTCTATCGACACATTGTTATCGTCCTCGGATTTTCTTGAGACATATCCTTCTCAGAGGTCTCAATGGATGAACTGGTGAATAGCAACATATTTCGTTTGAATATTTGTATTCAGAACCCACCAAGTGAATGAATATCACTAAAATTTGATGCAGGGAAAATTTTGTATGAATATTACAAAGATAATTTTGGATGCCAAACTTACATGGTAACTGCAAATTTGATAAGCAATCAATCATAAACTAAGCCAAAACTCACCTACAATCATCTGGCCATTGCTGGTTCTTTCTTATTTGACCAAGAATTCCGCCCCCTAAACCCGACAACGTTTAATTTTGAAGAAGTTGATTTTGCCGCACTGGATCCTTTGTTCACTACTTGCTTCCTTGCACTCGAAGAAGATTTTCTTGAGCTACTTGCACCGGAGAGCTTTACTGTTTTCGATACCTTAACGCTTGCCTTTGCAAATTTAGCTGGACCAGATGCCTTTTTGGATTTCACTCCTTGATCCTGATATGATTTTGCTGAATCTCTGCTTCTCTGCTTTGCAACTTTAATTAATTTTTCATTTTTCCCCTTCTGCTCAGTTATTCGGGCCCTGGCAATGTCCCGCCGCACACTATTTACAGATAGAGATTCCAAACTTTCATTTTTCCTCATCGCCTCCTCAATTCGGGTGGCTAAAGCAACGTCCTTCTTAGCAACCAAACTTGTCACTTTCCCTGCAAAAGGAAGAAATGTATTAATTTAACATTTATGGAAAACAGTCACTTAAAAAAGGCTTAGCCATGCTGCACTGCTAATAGCAAATGCCATTGCACGAATTTAGCCAACAAAAGGAAGGACTACGAAAAAAATGAACAGGAAAAACCATCCAAAGAAATATTTGCTTGTTAACATAGGAAGATGTAGCTTGAGAAGCTAAAATATTAGATAATTTTCATGCTTTTAAATCTAATTTTCACAATGCACACCATGAATTTAGAGCAAGTCTCAGGTCCTCTTTTCATACTTTATTTATCTTCTCCTAGACAAGGTAAATCATTTCTTTACCCCTAAATCGATACCTACAATTTAAGAGGGCCTTCCAACTTCACGGGGTAGGTAAAAATAGGACGGGCAGAGATTATTAAAGTTACAATGCCTTTGTTGTATGCTCGCTCAAGAAAATAGGAATAAGAAGGAAATTCAAGAAAAAGAGTTGTTGCACCTTTTGCACCCATACGAGCAGTTCTTCCAGTACGGTGAAGGTAGTCAATCTAAAAAATAAATAGAGATTAAGGTTGAGCTTTTAAAGCAGAAATGATTAGGATTAAAAGAAAAACTGAAAGTGAAAAAACTTGAACAAAAATTGACCCAACAAGAAGCTGATGCTTACAGAGTTCAATGGAAAATCAAACATGATGACGTGATCTACATCCAAGTCCAACCCCCTTGCAGCCAAGTCTGAGCAGACCAGTGTGGGGCAATCTCCATCCTCAGTCTTAAACTTTTTGAGGTTTTCAACCCTGTAATTCAAATGATAGGATGTTAAATACTAAAATGGGACATCAAAATCTTCACATTAATCAGCTCTTCTCTCTTGAATTTAGATTGCTTTGATTCAATGAAGACAGTTCAACCACGTTAGAACTAGAAGTCAATTGTCATTTTGTTTTTGAATAAAGTAAAACGATACTTTGCTTTTTGCATAGGAAGAACATAGAAGAAAAAAGATTTTCTTTTTAATTTTATTATTTTTTTTTTTAAAGAAAGAAATTTGAGGCTTAGAAGGAATTCTAATGGAGCATAGCTGATCGCAGCGAATGTTCACAAATATCCCTTTTACAAGAAGTGCAAAATCCAAAAAAGCATTTGAAATGGATACTTTCTAAAAACCTAAAGCGTAAACATAACAAATTGTACTTAAATAATGCCTATATCTAGGTAATTTAAGGAAAAAGTATTCCAAGCAGGATAAATTAATTTCAAGTTCAAATCTGATGTAATAGCCAGGCGAGTTAGAAAAGCAGCATACACGCAAAAAGGATGATACAAAGCAGGAGAAAGACTTCATAAATAGAATTTTAAGATAATTTTCAGCAGAACTTCGAAATGGTCTATTGGTGCTAAAACCATTCTATGGTTTACAACAGAAACGTATATCACAAATTATTGCCTTCACAAGTCACAACTGTACAAAGACAAACATCTGGATTGGGAATGAAATGGAAAAGGGGGTTTAGTTTGCTGGGGAGATAATATGTTATAATGTTCTGTCTTGGTCTTACCTTTGTTCTGCTGGCACCTCGCCATGATAATTGACAGTCGATGTCTGATTTTCACTGAGAAAGTGGTCGACAGCACGACTGGAATTAAGTGTGTTACAGAATACCATTACTTTGTTTCCTTTTGCCAAACTAGGCTCTAAAACCTGCTTTCCACCCAAAAACATAAATAAATAAAGCTCCCACTGTTAGACTGATGCAATACAAAGCAACTAACAAATGCTTTTTCTTGTCCACATAAATAGTCGAACTAAAGAGCTCTTCATGTTTCATACTGGATACATACAAAAGCATCTATCATTAAGAATACCAAACTATAAACTGAAGATGCTCTTCACAGGATAAATAACACAGTATTGTATAGTGCTACACATTGCTATTATGAGTTTCTTATCTTTATACAAAAATAGTCACTAATTGATAAACAAAAAAGAAAACAAAAGAAATCATATATGGTGCGCAACATTGGACCTGTAGTAATGCTTCCAGCTTGTTTTCAGAGCCTGAAAGTTTAATGAAATCATGACGAGCAGATGCAACTTTTTTATGCAATGTTGATGTCCGCAAATGTACAATCCCTTGGAACTCCTCATCAATTAGATTTTGCACTGCCTGCAAAACCTCCCAAAGGTCAACCACCCTACTGACTAAAGAACAAAACTTGTGCAGAAGAATATCAATTTGTAGTCACATAAGATAAGTACTAGAAACCATGACATTACAATTAGACGTAGAACCCTATAATGCAATATCAACTTCTTTCAATCTCAGTTAAGTCTCCTATCAGCTGATTACCCAATTTGAATATTTCAGCATTGGAGAATACTAAAGGAAGTGTTTCATGAGTACAATTAAACCAGATAGATTAACATCATTTGACATGCTTTAATGATTCCAAATATGGAATCTCCGCAATTTGGGCTTCTTTATGCTTTGTTGTGAAGTGAAACATATGTAGATAATATGAAGACTTTCAAAATGACAGGACTGTAAAATTGGGGAAAAAAAAGGGGGCTCAAAAGAAAAATCTCTGTTCTAGAATACATGAACTTATATTGTTTATTTTCCAAAAACTTGGGCATATTTTCCATTTTTACGACCCCAAAAAGTGGATAAAGTTTTACAGATGATGTCTAATTTTCAATTAGTCTGAGTGTCATTTACATTGAGCAAACACTAGCACTTTCATAGATGTATGATGTATCCATAACCACACAGACAAAAGTAAAATAAAGCCACCATAGAAGAACTGCATAACACAGAACTTTTCATTCAAATTTGCAGACACCCACTCTACTAGATGAAAACAAAAGTCTATCTACCTTTGTCATCGTTGCAGCGACCAAAACTGTTTGGAATCCTTGCCCATCGGGTTTTGATGCACGATTTTTCAATGGGCCAAGAAACTTACGAATGTCAGGTCCAAAACCATGATCAAACATAGTATCTGCTTCATCCAACACCTACCAAGAGATTTACAATAAGAATGAAATCAAAAGTATTAAGGGCCTGTTTAGTTCGCTGATTCGAGTTGAGATGTGACTTTATGTGTGAGCCTTTTACTGTAACAAAAAAGTTAGATGTAATTGTTTCTAAGAGCTTTTTACTGTAGCAAAACTCGAATTGGTGAAATGAACGGGGCTATCAAAATGTATAATCACTGATATAGAAGGATACTCACCACATATTTTATGTCACCATAAACAATGTTCCCATCCTGAATATGTTGAAGAATCCTGCCAGGGGTTCCAACCACCATATCGATTGCACCATTCAGCGAATCTTCCTGCGGTCTTAATCGGCCACCACCACTTACCATAGTAGACCTGAACCGTGCGTGATGGCTGATGGACTTGGCAACTCGGAACACCTGAAAATGCCCGCAGATTGTTAATTGCAAAGCCAGAGTCCATATGGTCTATTGTTATGAAATTACAAGGATATACACAAGAACCTGCTCAGAGAGCTCCCTTGTGGGGCACAGCACAACAGCTCGGGGACGCCTTGGCTTCATTAGCATACCAAACATTGCCTCATCCTGTCTCATCAACTGAAAGATATGTAATATTAACATCAGTTCTCCAATCTATACTAGGTGTACCTTAGCCAAAAACAATAGAATTTAACATCTTTCATATATTTTAATCCTGAAAACTTGTGAAACTTATGGAAGTGGATAAATTGATAGCAATTTAAAAACCGATAAAAGTGGAAGTTGGGAATATAGACTAACACAAACTTAATAAGTCCAGACAAATAGACAATTTCAAAAATTCAACAAATGAACTGTAGCATCTCCAATGCAATAACAAAGTTTTATGCCAACGCCAAAATTTAACATTTGGGATAAGAAAAGAAAACATTCCCGAACACAATGCCATCCTTGATATCACATTTAGGATATGCCACATTTTTGCATTTGGTTGTATCAGTTAGTGTTAATTTTTTTACTTGGTAACCACAAAGATGTCATTTTCAATTTATTTAGGAATCAAAAATTTTTCTTTTACAAGTTCCAAAGCTTAAAATTTATGACAAAAAATACACATAACATATAAAATAGTATTACACTGGAGTACAAAATAAAACAACATCTTAAATATGTCATCTATAAACTTCTTTTTTTGGTTTTGAAAAATAATGCATAGACATTACTACCATCTGTATTGAAGATAATCTAAAATACAAAAAAAATAAAAAAAAATAAAAAATATCAAGCAGAAAAACCAACTTCCAAAATCCCATTAACACCAATGGCAAATTAAAAGAAATGAAATACACAATTTCATAAGAAAAAGAAAAAAGAAAAAAAAAAGTACCTGAACAAGAGGCAGCATGTAAGCTAGAGTTTTGCCAGACCCAGTGTGAGAACCCAACACAACACTCTTCCCTTCCAAAACAGCGGGAATCCCAATGCTCTGAATCTCAGTAGGAACCTCAATTCCCATCTCTCTAACAGCTCCCATAACCTCATCACTCAGACCCAATTCCTCAAAACTCCCAACCACTTTCTGCTTCTTCTTATCACCATAACCACTTTCCTTTAACTTCTCCAACCCAACATTCTCATCCGAATTCTTCTTTGTTGAGGTTTTGGTTTCTTGGGGTTTTGCAGAGTCCTTGAGGTGCCTCAGCCTCAGCCGTTCGAGAAGGATTGAGTGCTTCAGCGGCTGAATTGTGTCATCGGTGTCGACGGTTTCGGTTTCGGTTGTGGTTGCGGAAGTGCGGAGAGGCCGAAACCCCGGATAAATCCTCGTGGGTTTTGGCGGTCTGAGGAGAGAGAAGCGTTTGGCTGCCGAGAAACGGGATAAGGAAGAGAGGTGCGAGGAGAGAGAAATGGTGAGAAGCGTCTTTGCAGTTGCACCTCCCATCGCTAATTGCATTTTGGAGTTGAATTTTTTCTGCTGAAATGTGAGTTAGGGTGCTTCTGATGTGAAGCTTATCGTTTTTTTTTTTTTTTTTCCTGAGACAGTGGGTTTTATATGTGTCGGATGACCTTTTGTGATTTGAACTTTGGGCCGGCGGACCGGCCCGTTGCCTGAATTTTTTAGGTGCGGCGGGCAGGCTCATATGTCGGCCCGTCTAAAATAGTATTTTAGACTCAGGTTCGGGCAGTTTGAATTTGGGCATTTCACCGGAGCCTATCGCCGTATAGGCGCCATCAATCGCCGTCTGCCGGAGTTTTTTTTGAATTTTTCCGGCCAAGCCCGATTTGCCTGAATGCCTGACCCGCCCGACGACCCGAAAATCGCGAAAAAGGTCAAAATTCTGACCGTTGGTGCCCGACCCGAATTTTGCCCGAAAACACGTACAACGGCTAGTTTTTTGCCCAAACTCGCCCGAACACACCTAAACCCGACCCGCCGATTTCAAAAGTAGCCGTTGCACCCCGAATTTTTTGAAAAAAAAATCAATTTTTTAACCAAAAAATTTTCCTATAAATACCCTCAATCCCCCACACATTTTTCTCACTCAAACTCTCTTAATCCCTCTCAATTTCTGTCAATCTCTCTCAATTTCTCTCAATCTATCTCAATCTCTCAAATCTCTATCACAATTTTTCTAAAAACTATTACATTATCCTAAAGCTTTCTCTCTCAAATCGCTCTTATTTTTTTTATAATGGATCCTTTTGGTTATAGTGGTATTCCCATTGATGCCCAACACAACGTGGAAGAAGGACAATTTCCCACTAATGAATTTGTTACGCAGGAATCTACTAATCCGAGCCCTGCTGGACGTACTGAAGGTCGTGGTCGCAATGGTGGTGGGCATGGAGAAGCGGCAACGACGAGTACCAGTGCGACTGCGTCTGCAAGTGTTGCAACCTCTAGGAGGAAATACAAGCGCACCTCGACAGTTTGAGATCATTTCGACATAATTGAGGAGATCGACAATGAAGATAACACTAGACATATAGCTCAGTGTAAATATTGTTTATCTAAATTACAACGTGACACTATTTATGGCACCACACACTTGAGAAGACACTCCGAAAAGTGTCTTCAAAAGCTTAGTCAATCCAGCGGATCTGAACTCCGCCAAACACAATTATCTTTTGATCACGCAACCGGTGGTTTAACCACTTGGAAATATGATCCGCAAGTTGATCGTATGGAAGTTGCACGAATGATAGTTGCTTTAGATCAACCACTTAGTTTTGTAGAGCATCTTAATTGGCAAAGATATATTAAGGTTGTACATAATTCTAATGCACAGTTCACTTTAAAAACTACTCTTAGGAAAGATTTATTAAAATTATTTGAAAAAGAAAAAGAAGCATTAATAAACATTTTACACTAGACTAGCGGGTGTTGCGTTAACGGCAGATATTTGGTGTGCCGTTACCAATAAAGATTATTTAGCTGTAACCAGACATTACTTTAAAGGATTTGATTTAGATAAGAGAATATTAGGTTTTAAATGTGTTCTAGGATCACATAGTGCAGATCTAATATATAATACAATTTTAAATGTAATTGATGAATTTAGATTAAGAGATAAAATAATGGCTATAACATTAGATAATGATAGTGTCAATACAAAAGCAATTGAGTTATTTGAAAATGATTTAAGTTTATTCGGTGATGGTACAATTTTCCACCAACGTTGTGTATGTCACGTAATTAATTTAATTGTTAAATCTGGTTTAAAAGAAATGGGTAATCACATTACAAGAATTAGAGACAGTCTTATATGGATTTAATGTAGTAACCAAAGACAAGAAGATTGGTTTAGGTTCTTACAAGCATTAAATACACCTTCTAGAGCATTAGCGTTAGATATGTCTATAAGATGGAACTCAACTTACATAATGTTTCAACAATGCATCTTTTTTAAGGATGCTATAACAAACTATATGTGTGCAAAAGTATAAGTAAATCATATAGACGCATATGATTGGCAGATTGCCGAAGTTTTGTATCAATTTTTTGGTAGGTTTCATTAAGTGACTTTAAAACTTAGTGGAACATATTATCCAACATCACCGTTAACTTTAGGAGAACTTTTACGAATTAGTATTTTATTTAGCGAATATAGGGATGACCCAATCTTAGTAGTTCCTATCCATTCAATGGAAAAGAAATTTATAAAATATTGGTCTAAGTTGCCTTTGTTGTATGGTTTAGGTACTATTTTTGATCCTAGATTAAAATTAGAAGGTTTAGAAAGTGGTTTAGATAACTTATGTGAATTTTTAGATATCAATTGTTCGGACCAATATCCAATAATAAATGAAAAAATATTTTCAATCTATAGTAAATATGAGATTAGTTTTAGAGTACCTCCTAGAGTACAGGAACTGCAACAACAAGACGAAAACCCGCATTCATTCTTAAATGTTTTCAGGTTGAAGAAGAAGAAGAAGACAACTCAAACAGAAGCTGAGAGTTTCCTCAACAAGTGACAGTGGCAGCAGTGGCGGCAGCTTCAACGAGCTTATGGCGTACCTCAGTGAAGACTTAGTAGTCGACGGTACAGCAGAATCGTTTGACTTAGTTCAATAGTAGAGGGCACGGGCATTAACTTGGCCAATCCTAACTCGATTGGCAATAGATATATTTTCGATCCCAGTCTCCACTATTTCATCTGAACAAGCTTCAGTACGACAGGAAGAATACTTTAGGAACGTCAGAATGCATTGCAAAGGGATATTTTTGAAGCCTTAGTTTGCATTAAGGATTGGGATCAGGCCGATCAACGTCTACAGGATACAATTTCACCGGCAAGCTAAGAATGGTTCGATGAATTTAATCGATTAACATTTAATTTTGAAGATGATCCTTCAGCTTCAAATTAAATTGTAAATTTATAATTTGTAAATATGTATTACTTTTGACATTGTATTTGTAATTGTATAAGTTTGTAAGTTTGTAAAATTTATAATTCGTCACAAAATGATTGCACTCTTTTTTTCTTGCCAAGTTTTTATCCTAATTAGGTTTTTTGGGTAAGATTTTTAACGAGGCAATTATGAATTACGAATTTAATATACATCATTAATATACATGATTAAT